CTACGGCTTTTATGTAATCTTTTTTGCTTTAAAACGACTGTTACATGAACGCTATTGGTTTTATTTATAGTTTTTGAAACATCAAGGTGAGGACATGATGATGATGATGATGATTAAAACATTGAATATAATTAAAATATAATTTAAAATGAATTCTAATGAAGTAAAAATTCAATTAAAGACACAATTAAACGACACAGAATTAATTTCAGTGATATATTTCCTTTATACAAAATTGTGATGCACGTATATGAATATGAAAACCTAATTCTGAATATAATGTACATTGTAAATGTGTTAGTCCTAAACAACATGAATTCAGACCTGTTGCCGCTGGTTATCATCACTCTAATAATCGGCTATATGGACAGAGAGAATTACTTTGTGAGCTCAGAAGTAAAGTTTGCCACAGCATTGATCTCCATTATCCCATTGTCCTACTACATCGGGATGGGAATAGCAAGGTAACAATAAAATTCCCACTCATTTTATTATTATTAATATTTGTTAAATGGATTTATTCACCTAAATATAATATTTCCTCATTGCCTTTTCGTAATATTTCTTCTATATTATTAATAAAAATTATTTTTTTCAAAAAGAAATCTCTGTAAAAACCTCTGTTTTCTCTGTAGTATTTCCGCACAGAGTAACTTTGCTGTGGGAGCGGTAGTAAACGCCACGTTCGGCTCCATTACAGAGATGGCCTTCTACATCACAGCTTTACTCCAGGGTCAGCGTGCGGGATCCCAGTGTTATGCAGAACTTGTCAAATCTGCTCTCACAGGCACCCTGCTGGGCTGTATCCTCTTCATACCGGTGTGCTGCTTCAGCCATTCTGCTTCAGACATCTAGTTATGCATTCAGAAGCCTCTCATAACTGTGATTTGTGTGTGTTTAAGGGGCTCTGTATGATCATTGGCGGCTTTAAACACAGCGAGCAGCGGTTCAACAGCAGGTCAGCAGGTGTCAGTTCAGCACTGCTCTTCATATCAGTAGGAGGTAAAAAAAATTCTCTGGAATTTCATTATTTACTCATTGTACACTTGTTTTACATCTGTATGCGATTTGTACGTTTGCTTTTAACCAGAAGAAAGTTTGATTGAAAGTTTGATTCAAAAGCAAATTGCAATGATTCAATCATTTCCTAATTGTTGTCTCGTTCATGAAGCCATTTGACATCTTTTAATAGATGCAACTCTTTGTGACCTTTCATCTCTCTCTGACTGCAGGTGTTTTCGCCCCCACGCTCTTTTCGAAGGCTTATGGAAATTTTATATGCGAGGGCTGCAACAACCCTCCTGGTAACATCTCAAAGCCCTTCATATGCAACAACTGCCACTACGACCTGGTGCGATTTGTGTGCTTAAGTCTAAATTTTTAATGTCTAAATTTTATTAAGTAATTTAGACATGCATTTATGGATCTGTATGATGCAGAGCACAATAGTTAAACACACAACCTGGTATTTTCCCACAGAGTGAAAACAACCGACCTCTGTTTTTGAGTCACATCGAGTGAGTATCCAATCACACTTCATTTTATAACATGGAGACTTGGCTAAATGTGGTAAAGTAACTAATATTCATCACTAAATTTCTCCAGATGATTGATCACAGTTTTAAAATTAAGTTTGTAATAGTGTGATGTTTGAATATGCAAATGAGGCATTATTTAATCAAATATGCACTAATTTGCATACATTCTAGCACAATAATCTAAACACTGAATGAAGTCAGGTGCAATATTCTAGTAAATCTCATGTTTGTAATTTGCAGAGGAAATTTTGAGAATCTGTTTTTATATTTTTATAATTTACAAGGTCATGATTCACACTTATTAAATAATTGCTTTGTAATTATTGACAAGATTAACGCACAAAAAAAGTTTTTAAAGGCCCGCGAGCGCTCAGAGCAACCTTCATTACTCAACGTTATCATTTTATAATTACAAAAATATCGCCTGCAGCCAGCATTCACTTTTTTGTAAAATAAAATGTATTTAATCAGACAAATTAAAAGGAAATATTCTTCTGTAAACCTCTTCAGATTATAGATATGAATAAATCTGAAGTTTGTCGTATATAAATGCTGCTGTAGTGGAAATGTATTATCTCGTTTTGAGAAAACAACTTTTTAAAGTACGCCCTGCCTGTCCAAAAATATAAAAACACCTGGATTTAACTAAGCAAACTAAGGTAAGAGCCTCCCATTGGATTATTTCAAGATGGTAATGGCAGGATTAATCATGCTCAAACTGTAAAGGAACGGTTCAGGGAGCATGAGCTGAAATTTCAACACATGGGAGGGCCACCACAGAGTCCAGATCTGAACCCTATTGAGAATATTTGCAAGAAGACTTTGCACAGCCGTCCGGCTCTCCCATCATCAACACAAGATCTTGGTGAAAATTGAATGCAACTCTAGATGGGAATAAATATTATGACATTGCAGAAGTATATTGAAATGACATGGCAAATGCATGCTATAATCAATTCTAAATGCAATCCAATTGAATTGGAGTATGACTTTTATTTTATTTTATTTTTTATTTTAGACTGGCAGTGTATATTGTAGTTAAAATCTACAGACACAAATTGATTATGATTATTGGAGTGCAACAAAATAAACACCTAAATGACTAAATGTAAATGTAAAATGGTTTTCTGCAAGTTAATTTGGCATTAGATACAAAAAAAGACATAATAAACAGTAAAAAGGGTAAAATAAAAAAAATAAAAATCTGTGTTTTCGCCTGCAGTGTTTGAAGTCTGTCTCTGTTTTCAGGCCTTTAGTGTACACCGTCTCTGTCCTGTTGCCTGCTGCGTATCTGGTTGGTCTGATCTTCACCCTCAAGACTCATTCGCACATTTATGACATCCACATCAGCGATGGCCACTGTCACGGTGAGTGTTTGTCATGTTGCGTTTGGATTATGGCATTCTGTGACTGATGCTTTTATTATGTAATGTTTGTTTTAGTTATTAGTGATCATCACGCAGTGGCTCACTGGTCGAGGACGAGAGCTTTAGTGGTGCTCATTTTGGCTACTATATTGATGGCTGCTTGTGCTGATCTGAGCACCGAACATATCAAGCCTATCATATCCAACTCCAGCGTCTCACAGGTACGTCCATGTTTTTGATTTAAATATATTACCATTATTTTCTTTTATACATATTTTTATTGATATTTGTTGTATGTATATATTGTTTTTTATTATATATATTTCCTTTTTTTTTTAATAAAATGAAATTATTTTGATTTGATTCTAATTTATATTTATACTTGAAATGTTTTCTTTGCTCATTTCACATGGGATTTATTTATTATTTCACATTTTTCATTTTAGTTTTTATATTAAATTAAAATAATTTAAGTTTTATTATAAAAATTGAATAAATTTATTTTTAAAAAGTACTTTAAAAAAAATAATAACTTGTAGTATTTTACTTAATTCTTTAGTCTCCTTTTATTTCACATATGGATATTTATGACATGATAGTATGTGTATTCCTTTGCAGTATTTTATTGGCGTTACTATAATAGCCATGGTTCCTGAGCTTCCTGAGATAGTCAATGGCGTCCAGTTTGCGCTTCAAAACAACATCAGTCTCAGGTTGCAACAATTAAAATACAAACATCTCTGTTTTCTATATATGATCTGTATGTTCCTCTGATTGCATTTTACTGTCAATCATTCAGTCTGGAGGTGGGGAGTTGTTTAGCAGTTCAGGTGTGCATGCTGCAGATCCCTCTACTCATCTTGTTCAATGCTTTTTACGTAAGTGCTACTCTAAATAACTTGAGCATGGTTTCTTTTACTCTGTTCTGACGTATGACAAGTTCTTCCTCTTTCATCCAAGGATGTTGGATTCGTTCTCATATTCAGCGATTTGCACCTCTGGGCAAGCATCTTCAGCGTTATCCTGGTAAACTACATATTTATGGATGGAAAGTCAGACTATTTCCAAGGTAAGCATTAGTTGAACCTATGTTACAATAGCTTTTATATAAGGAATATCTTTGTGAAATGTGCTTGATGATCGCCATTTTATTTACGCTTTATAGAAAGAGTTCGGCTATAAATAAGTGGCATGTGTTCAACTAGGGAAAAAAAAAAGTTATGCTGGTTTACAATTGACAGGATTTGTTTTGGGTAAACAAAAATGGAACATGAAGAATTTTATTTAATTTTGTTGCATGTTATTATCTCTTAAATTTACCTTTATTAAACATCCATACAGCATAGAAAATTAAAATAGTGTCAACTTTTGAATAATGTGTGAAAATAATGTTTCAACGTTCCCTGTAACAAAAATAAAATCCCATTAATTACTAACAGAATGGGTCAAATAGTCAGTTAATCCTGTTGGACTGTCATCTTTTAATGTCTAATCCATGTCCTAAATGTGCCTTACAAGATTCTTGGGAAGTTGTTGTTACACTGAATACATTTTCCTAAGGGTTTTCTGTAAATCATGGTAAAAATGCATGATTGTTTTTTTTTTTTTTTTTTTTTTTTTTTTTTTAAATCAAAAAAATCTGAGCGTACCGATTATATTTGGGTAGGTTTTAAATCTTTTAGTTTAGGCTTTGTTGCATCTAAAAGTGATTTGAATAACTCCTTACTATTTGTTTTTGAACAGGAACGGCTCTGGTGGTTGTTTACCTCATTCTCCTGGCTTTATATTTTTTCGCACCTGCTCCTCTTGGATGTTGAACTTCTTTTTTTTTTTTCTCCAATAATATTTTATTGTTGAAATGTTTGTCTTTTGTATAAGAATGTTTTCCCAAAGAATAGAAATCAATTCTTTCCTAGTGTGTGTCTAAAGCTGAAAACAGTTTCACAGTGTTTACTTGAATAAAATATGCACTAAAAATGAATTCACGAAAAAATCTATATATTTAGCTACCCATCATGATTTAAAAAATGAATAAATAAATTTTGTATTCCTATGATGCTACCTGTGTGATTTAATCCAAGTTAGAACGCATCCACCAGTTTGAACAAGTTTATTAATTCCTCAACAATAAAACACAAAACTGATACACGAGTTACAGGTAACCAATGAGAGAGTACCTTCAACATTTGCTGCACAACGGAGGCATTGAAATCCAGCTCGTCTCAAAAAATAAAAAAAAAATAAAAATGAAGAGACTCCTGTCGCACCATGCAGACCCAAAAAAAATCCCACTGTGCTGTTAAAAATCCTGGAAATATCCGGAGTTGGTCTGCGCATCACCATTCAGTCCTGATCCATGCAAACAGAAATCCAGTCATGCAAAAATAAACCCATTATTTTTTGGAGGATATATATGTAACTTACATCCAGAGGAAAGCTATTTTGATGATAAATCTAATAGGGATGCAGAGGGTGGAAATAATAGCAATTATGAAACACTTTTATTCCACTACATCAATTGCTGGTGCCTAATTAAGGTAGTCAAATGGCCACAGTTTCAAAGAAAAAGGCAAAAAGCATGAACTCTGAACTCGAGATGCTGTATTTGGCATCATATTAATCGGTCAGCATAGTAAAGAGATGCTCGGCTACATTATTGCTAAATGACTTGACTGTACTGATCCACACAAGGCTGAAAATGTGGGCATTGTGCTGACCAAATACAAATTATTCTAAGACTTTAGTTTTAATTGTAAATGTATCAAGTGCTGGATGAAAATGTATGTATTAGAAGATCATTTTGAATTGCGTAATAATTGTAAAGTGCTTTTAGCAAGGCTTTGTCTCACGGTTACGTTTAGCACATTATCATATCTTGTTTGGAAAAGGCACTGGATCAATTAAATGAGTTGGCTGAAATGTCAATTTAAACATTTGCATGAGGGATAGATGGTTTAAGGAGGAAGAAAAATAAGTGTTTTATTTCAATAAAAGCGTTAAAAGTAAACTTAAGGAGCACCTTGTTCACAGTGATGGTTTACAAAACCAGGTGAAACATGGGAACAGCTTTGCTATGACTGTACAGCTTTGCTGAAACATTACTTGGTCTGGTGTTTGTGCCTTAAGTGCAGATCTGAGCAACAGCATCCAACCGAAAACTCCCACACTCCCAGTGAAGAAAAGGAAAACAAATAAATAAATCACTTTGTTAAAACATTCCATCTTTTCAACACTGTTTTGCACCATTTGAAGTAAAATCTTTAAAGACATAGTTTAAGAAAATCATTGAAATTTGCTGGTAACTTAGTCATACTCTAGCCATCCAAAATGTAGTCATTTTTATTTATTTGTTTATTGAATATTAATCATCTTTTGTGATTCAAAATGCTTTGAGAGTCAATTTTCTTAACGCATCTAGGCATAACAAATGACCTGGGCGCCTAATGATACATCAAACTGTCATGAAGTAAACTGAAGAAAGTTTGTGCCAGAAACTGAATTGTATATGTGGATATGATATTAACTTTAATTTAAAACCTTCCACACTCGCAAATAAATGTACACGAGCTGTCACTGGGGCAGTACCTTTTTATAAGATACATATCTGTACGCAAACAGTCCCCAATGCTACCTAGGAGGTGCATATTAGTACCCAAACATACCTAAAAAGTACCTGTGGGGTACCATTATGTATCCTTCAGGTACAAATATGTACATTGAAAAGGCACTGCCCTAGTGACAGCTCCTGTACCTTCATTTCTGAAAGTGTGTGAAGAATCAGACTTCAATGAGTTTTGTTTTGGCTATGTGGGTTTTTAGAACAATTCAATTCCATTTTATGACCAACGAAAGCCACAGTTTTAGATAAAATAGTCTTTAATGTTCTATTGAAGATTAAAACGAGTAAATAAAAACCAACTACATCTTGGATAACGTGCGTGAGGGTGAACACATTTCCAGCACATCTTCATATTTGCTTAATCCATTTAAATTCCAGGCGTTAATAATTCTGAACAGCAGTTCTCCGAACAGTTGCCTGTAAACTTTTCTTAAATATTCATGCTGCGAATGTGGTGATTCCTAAAACTTAAATAAGTCTTTGACAGAAGAGGACACATAATTAAGATACATCAGTAAAAACAACCCCCAAATCATCACTGAAGGCCAATAAATAATATTACAATCTCAGCAAAGCAAAAAAAAAACAACAACACACATTTCAGGTCACTGACCCATAGTGTTGGAATCCTCTCTCTGGTGGCTGTTTAGTTTTGCAAATCATTAAAAGGTGCAAACGCAAAACAAAAAAAGGCATCCTACAGTTTTTGGTTTTAAGGCGAGACGTGTCCTTAAGTCGATCCGGTTGTTTCCATCCACATTTTGGCTTGAAGTGCCGTCGTCCTGCCAATGCTCGGCTTCGAAAAACAAAACTTTAAAGTTAAATTAAAAAAATGTACACATGTAGTAGGTACACAATCGGTCTCTCTTGCACTTGCAGCTGCCGCCTGTTTATTTTAAGCGTTCAATGAGTTCCTGGGTGAGGCCCAAGTTTAGCAGCTGTATGGGGGTGAGTTGGGCCAGGTGAGGGAAGGCTTTGAGCAGACGCTCCCAGCACAGCTCCAGCAGGCTGGGCACCACCAGCCAGATCTTAAACAATGAACCAGTCCGCTTATTCTCGTGGATGTTTACCACGCCGCCGTGGATGTACATGCAACCGGCCTGAGACACAAGACAAACTACATTTTAAACTCGTAAATAAATGCATTTTAAATGGTGCTATGAATGAACTTAAAGTAAAATAAAAACATAATGAAAATGCACAAAAACTAGCAGCATAGTATGAACTGAAAATATTAATGTACTAATTTAATTATAAAAAAGTCAAAAACTAATAAAAAGTTCTTTAAATATTTATATTTTACTATATTTAAAGAAATGAAAGCTATAATTACTTTAAAATCATAAATACTTTAAAAAAACTGAAATAAAATTATTCATGTATGAATAAAAAAAATCTAAATGTATTAAAATGTAAAAAAAAATGATGATGATGATGATAAAAATAATAATATAATAATAATAATGTAGTATTATGCATGTACTGACCGGGGTAACAGCAGCACAGTGGAAGTACGCAGGTTCAGGCATCACTGCTGGGAGTTTATGCCACTGGAACGTCTGCAGGTTGACTTTCCACAGGTCGTCCAGGATTACTTCACCATTATACCCTCCACATATAAATACATCTGCCACAAACAGCGACCAAAGATTGAGCTCTGCAAACCATGTGATGGCAAGCGTGCAAATCTTTCACAATATCAACTTACCATTTTTAATCTGCACACAACTATGACACCTCCGAGGCGCCGGGTATCCTGAAGAAAGAATAAGATTACACTGAATAAGCAAATAAACCAAATTATCGGATGTCAAAAAGCTTAAAACAACAACAAAAAATGTATTATTTACCTATTCTTTCATGAGGCTTTGTTGTGATTTCCTCCCAGGAATTTGTTTCAAGATTATATGCGTGTATCTGAGACAAACAATTGGGACATATGACAATTTAAGTAGCATTTATATAAAGGTGTCTTAATATTGCATGAGCAAGACCCATATAGCAAATAGAAGCAGTATATAAACTGAAAAGTAAGCAAAAAATAAATAAAAAGACACTTTTTAAAGTATGATACAGCTAAATAAATATAAAAAATATACTTTTTTATAAAATTTAAATGTAAAAAATTAAATACTCGCATAATGAAGTTTGAAAACAAACAAAAAGAGAAAAGTCAAATTAATATAAACCATTAATATGTATTTAAATAAATACAACCTAAATAATTTCACAACAACAAATAATGAGCATGCCATAAATAATTATTGAATATTCTTGCCAACATTTGTACCTTGTCTAATGGGTAAGAAGTCCAGGAAGTTCCTCCTCCTAGAATATATATCCTCTGTCCATCATGAGCAATCTCATGCCTGTATCTAGTGGAAACAAATTTACCAGGATGTTGACCATATGCACTTATAGACTGACATTTTACTTAGTAGAGGCATGCACACATGGATTAAAGTAATCATTTCAAATATATTATACTTCCCCAAAAATCTTCCTTAATGATTAAACCCAATTGAACCCCAAAGGAATGGTCAAAGTCGCCTACCGTTCCTCAGGCAGGTCATCTGGAGGGTTGTTTGGCTTCAAGTGGATCCACTCACGTGTTGTCAGGTCCAGTCTATGGAGATCTGTGCTGTAAATATAGCCTGTTGTGCCTCCAAAGACATATAGAAAGCCACTGATTATGGCCATCGCCTGTAACAACAAATAGAAATCACACTTAATAATCAAGAATGTAACATGTTTCTTAAGAGACAGTTGTTGTGGTTATTATTGGGTTATATTACATAAATTTCTTAAGGGTTTTTGTACCTGTCCATATATTCGATTGGGTTTTTTGCCCCTGCAGTTGAGGAGGGACCATCGTTTGTATTTAACATTGCAGACGTGAACGTCATTTCCATTGTTTTCCCCAAATGGGATTCCGGTCCCGCCGAATACAAGCAGGTTGTTTCCGTGCAAAACAGCTGTGTGCCATACAAATATGATGGTTAAGAGAAGTAAAAGGTTTTTAAAAATACCTGTCTTGCCAGCGGGCTATTAGCACGTTCTAAACAACAAAACTAACTGCATACAGAACAACCAACAAACCAAATCTGCCACCAAAGAAAATCAAAATCAAATCCAACCCAAAACAAACTAAAATTATCCAGTAAAACATAAATAAATAAATAAAAAATAAGACAAAAACCACAAAAAAAAAACAAAAAAAAACCGCCCAAAACCAACACAAAACCCCACACGTTCACAACAGCAAAAACTTAATAAAGCAGATACAGGGTTTCTGCAGGTTAAATCGAGTCAGACTTTTTAAAACAGTTATGAATTAATTTTAGACTTATACAGGGCTAAACACTAATGACTATTTCTAATGACTCGGGTGCCACAAAAATAAATAAATAAATAAACAGGTAATTTTTTCTAAGCTACATATTTTAATGTGTCAAAACAAGAAAAATCTAGTTGTATATTACTAATACACTTACTTAATACACTATATTAATAATACACTTTTTTCAACATAATATATATATTTTTTAATGACAAGTTTAACATTGCTAAAAGTATATTTATTATGAAGACAATGACAATAAAAAAATCACTATATAAAGATACCAAACCAAACAAAAAGATACAAACAAACAAGAACAAAACTTAAAAACGAAAACTAACTAAATTATAAAGGAAACAAATATAAACATGGAAGTAAATGCCCGGAAACAAAAATAATAAAAGAAAACACAAAACAGGCAAACATTTACCAACCAAAGAAGAAAAAAAAAACTACACAAAACAAGAAAACCGCAAACAGAAAAAACAAAAAACTCAAGACGAAACCCAAACAAACGATCACTATATAAAGATATCAAAAAGGACAAAAAGATACAAACAAACAAGAACCAAGCTTAAAAACAAAAACAACCTGAAAACTAACTAAATTACAAATACAAACACAAAAGCAACTGTCCTAAAACAAATACACAAAACAAATGCGAACCAAATTAGGACAAACGACACACAAAGACACTATATAAAAGATACCAAACAAAACAAGAAAATACAAACAAACAAGAACAAAACTTAAAAACAAAAACACACAAAAAAAATATATTACCTGACATCGAAGCCAGTTCGGTGGGCATGAAGCCCTCGGTGCGGATCTGTTGCCATGTCCCTGTGGCGAAGTGAAACCTCCACAACTCCCTGAACAGTGGGTAATCCTCGTTTTCGGAGCCGCCAGATTCATCATAGTCGGGGTTGTAGCCTCCAAACACATAAAGGTTGGTGTTGTCAGCCACACATCGATGGCCGCTCCGGGCCGGAGGAGCTCTGTGACCTACAGAGACAGACATCAGGCAAAAGATGAAGAGACAATACACAGATAAACAGTTAGACAGCTCATTAGAGCCCACGATGATGGGTCCTCACAGAGATAAATCACTCCTTTGAAGACCGAAGTTAAGGAAAAACAAGCTGTTCACTGCTAGTCTGGAACTGAACTGTAAAGGCAAGAGATTATACAATGTCAAACAGCTCCAGTGGACAGTTCTGGAAAGAAGATTCACGAGTTGGTTCTTTATAAAATGACCTGTGAAATGAACATTTTTAGTTCAAGCTCCATTCGAAGCATTATGACACAAACCATGTTTATGCATACTTAAGGCTACAAGCAAATACAGAGTAAACTTCATGATCTCCAACCAGATTTATTACTTTAGAATTTGACTATGGACATATGTGGAAAGTAATTGAGTTCAAGAGTCCGGATTAGCCTTGGATGGAACAACTACATGAGTGACTTCAAATACAATATAATTCAAACACCAAAAAGCGTGAGTACAGGTAAGAGCGAACAAAACACAAGTGTAACTCAATGAATTAACAACAGCTAGTTAAAAACCCTTGTAAGTCTTCCTTTCTTGCCCAAGCCTGTTTTATTAAATAGAATCTAAATCACATCTCTACTAAACACAATGAACAGCATCTTAGCTAAAACCACTAAATTACAAAACAATAATATAAAATAACAATATAAAATATTTGTATCATTAATTAATACTAATATATTGCAAGTATTAAAGGGAAACATATTTGTATGTATTAAATTAATAAAATAAATATGTGCTTTTAGTAATAATAATAATAATTATATATATATATATATATATATATATATATATATATATATATATATATATATATAAAATTTATTTTAATACATTTCCTAATGAAATAATAATAGAAATATTTCTTATTAAAATGTGTACAATTTTAATTATACTATAAATGCATTATATAATTTAGATTTGATATTACATATTTAAATAAAACTATATATTTTAGGGCTGCACGATATTGGAAAAATCAGACATTGCAATATTTTGTTTTGCTGCATATATATATTACAATATGAAAACAATTTCACCAGGTTGAATAGCTTTATTTGTGAAAAATCATTAATTTAGATTGCTTGGGTGTATTTTGTAAGGATGTTAATCATGTATAAAAATAAAAATTGTGAGAATAATTACAATGGAGCAAAAATAAATAAAAAATATGAATAAAAAGTTCTTTACGTTTTTCCGGCGAGTCAAACAGTATTTAAAATGCAAAAATATAGTAATGTAAAAGAACACTGTAAAGTCTTTATTGTATTAATAAATCAGTACATTTTCTTCATTAAAAGTTGCAAATGTCTTACGTTATTATGGCCAAATGCTTTACACTTTCTTGAAGTGCCTTTAAAACACATGCAAATGAGACAGTTTTACTCTGTTATCGTTATACGTTGCAATGACTCCACAAATCACATGTATACTCAATTGTTAATAGACTATAATCCCAACTTAACACTGCATATCTTGCGATGTGACTTCTGCAGACACACACATTGCAATATCGATGCTGAATTTATATATTGTGCAGCCCTAATATAATAATAAAAAAAAAACACCAAGCAAAAAAGCTAAATTACAATTTATTTATTTCTAATATCAGCATACAAATCATTGCTAACGCAACATCCGACTCTCTAAAAAATTAATGACGTACACTTTCCGCAGGTCACCAAATCTATGACAGCATGTGCAAGCCAGCAGCCTCACCCTTGCAAATTCCTGCCAATAAATTTGCCTGGAAACCTGGACGCTGCACCTGAGCAAAAGCATCGCTGGGATGAGGTACACACAGACAGGAGGAAACTTAAATTATACAACAATAAAATAAAAAAAACGAACACAAATCAATATAAAACAATAACTACAGGATCAATACACATACCTAACTCTCAACCAGACGACGCTTCTTTTTATTCTTTTTATATTTTTTTAACACGCAAGCCATCCTGCCCCAGCTTCGCCCCCAATAAAAGCTTAGCAGAAAGAGACCTGGCACATAAAAGCGATGTTGTTTTTTTATTATTACTATTATTGTTTTCTTAACACCACAGTGAAGAGCAGTTTTGAAGAGAGGGACAGCATGGGGAAGGCCTCCAGATTTGTTATGTGGGTTTCCTTTTTTTTTTTTTTTAAGTTCATTTAAAGGCGATCATCGCCTATTACCCACCTTCTCTTAAAAACCTGTTAGGGATCCGCAGACTGGGGCTGGGATGGCCGAAGATTCTTCGAGCTTGTAGCCAGCTAACTCTCTTCTTAGAGCCTGTTACCACAATTACCGCAGTCAGACAGAACAACAAAATAACAACAACAAAAAAGGACAATGGCAAGACGAACAGAAAAACACACAAAACACCCTGCCCATCACTCGAGGGCTCAACAAATGGCTTTTGCACTGTCACACATACCAAGATTGAAGCAATTAACATGAATATATCTGGACCACAAAGCAGCATGAAGATCCTTTGGTCCATAACCAAGAGAATCATAAAAACACATGTACAACTGCAGTCTTGAAGTGATGACAAGGGAACAGCGGTGCTGAAACAAACCGCAGATATTGGAATTTGGCACTGTTGTTGTATGTCAGACAAGAAAGGGGGGTTAATAATCCAAACAATAAATATGTGTTACAATTTTTAATGTACATTATAAATGTATTCTATTAAATTATTTCAATTCAACTGCGTAGGCCTGTCACAATAATCAATATATCGACTTATCGCACAACACATGGCGTTACGTTTGATGTTTTCTTTGTCTATTTTTTTTTTCACCCTCCTCTCCGTTTGCTCAGCCCTTAGGTTTCTTATTGGTTTACCATTCTGTCCATCATCATTAGGACGGTGTCTGTTACACCAATATCCGGACGCGGCGCAAGGATTTAAAGCCCCGACAGACCAGTGTGTGGTGTGCGCTCTGCCTCGGCGTACCATTGGTGCAGCACGCAATTTGTTTGTGCAATGCTTCGTCTATTCAGTGATTTATTATCTCAGTTTACTGTGGTAATTCGAGGTTGCTTGTTCAACTTCGATGGCTTTAAGTAACATAATGTGATGGTTGTTGTGTGATTCTAAACTAAGCTTTGACGGACTTATCCGGTTTGTTTAAGTTTAGATTGATGTTTTGTTAGATTAGTTTAAGTGTTTTGCCACCTGTGTACTTTGAGTTTTGTAGTTTAATTAGTTTAGTTCAGGTGTTATATATATCACCCATTAGGCATGGGACGATAATTGTTTAAAGGTTTACCGCGGTTTGGAAAAGTCAAAAGTTTTAAAATCTTTCTGCACTACCGTTCCTAAGGTATGTGTACAATTTATTGACATTTTTTGTTTTGTTTTTTAGGACAGCAGTATCTTCAGCAGAAAATATTGTAAAAAAATCTGTTTTTGAAACAATCGAAGACAGCAGAAGTCAATAATTAATTTTATTCTGACATGTTTGCTCTTTCAAAATATGTTTAATGTTTCTCAGAATAAATATATTGTGTTTAAAGGGGGAAAAGGTTTTTGTTTTTTACCAAGACATTTAAAAACAGAATGAATATTAAAGCAGTAATAATAATACTGTGATACCATGATATTTTTATCCAAGGTTATCATATCGTCAGAATCTTATATTGGCCCATGCCAACCACACATAATAACCAATTCTAGCAACATTTCAGCTGATTGCACAACATCCCCATCTCTATTAAAAGTGTCAGTGTCAGGACGGTTAAAAAAAAAAAAAAAAACGCTAGAGTATTTACTTGGGTGTCTGACAACTGAAAGCAGATCTGGTAGCAGATATCGCAGCCTCTGTTACATTTTACCCAACACTTTTTTTTTATTAGCATTTATTATTATTATTATTTATTAGTTTAGGATATACGCTTTCACATTCTTATTCCAATGCCTTATTATTAAATTGTTAAATTGACTATTATTAGATCAAATATTCTTAAGAATTAGTATGTTCCCTTTGGAAGAGTGTACTTGCATTATAATATTATATTGTCATTCTGGCATTTTATAATGAGTGGCATAAAATGGTCTTATAATAACAATAATATCTTTTATCGCAATAGATTTTGGTGCAATATATTTTACAAACAAAAAAGATATCAAGGCAAGCCTACTACGGAGCAAAAAGTAATGACTATTACACTTTTTTAACATTGTTTAAAGTTACTACATACAGTAGGTCATTTATTTGGTGTAGCAACGGTTTACACACCAAAAGTTCTTAAATTCATCAAGTATCATTTGATGATGACATATTAAAAGACTATTTAAGGATCACCCCAAATTACAAAGTACTACCTGCAAGTTAAAATTTGTATACTTTTGATTAGAAAGACTATTATTCAATCTACTAAAGCAGCAAGATGCATTTAACTGCTTAAAATTGGTGCCACTAAACAATTAACCATAACTATGTTTAGTGAATGACTGTATTTAATATACACACACAGCCACCCATACCTGTATAGAAATTGTTTATTTATATTTAATTTATATAAATATAACAGAATTATCAATAAATATTAGCATTTAAAAGTAAATACATGTGAGCTTGCATTTATATATGCATAAACATTTATAGTGCATGAACAAATATTATGTAAAAATACAGACTTTTGCATGCGATTAGTCACAATAATTCAATTGAAAGCCTTTTTAAAATGCAATTAAATTGTGATCACTAATTCTTATAAATTAAAAAACAATAAAGGTAAGCCAAGTTGATCTCAAACTATGCGCTGATTTAGGCTTTTTATTTTTATCACTATCTCCTGTATGAAAGTAATCCAATGGCAATCCCTAATTTTACCAAATAATTGACAGAATTTGACAACTGAACTGAAACTTTTTTTCATTTACTGTACTATTAACCTATAACTTCAGCTATGTTAAACTTCTGACAATCTACATAGCGAAAGACGCTATAGATAAAAATAGATATAGAAATGTAATTATACGGATATTGCATATATTCACATTGTTATCATTATGTCAGTCAAATAGTTCAGAACTTAATATGATTTATTTAAAGATTTAGAAATTGGTGTTTTTACAGTTGGTTTTTACTAATTATATTACTTTTCCAGGCCTGCATGTTAGTGCACACACACACACACACACACACACACACAAATAATACAACCCTTGATATTTACAGCTTTTCCAAGCCCACTGGAATTCTGTTTAATATACAGTGTTGAAATGTCTGGACTCTGGATTCACTGTTTGGAAACAATTGGAAACACTGATAACTGGTATGCATACGTTTGACAGAGCACATTGCTATGCATTCTCAAAAATATCAAAAACAATAAATAAATAAAGAATAATCATAAAATAAAAACAAATTAAAACGGATGACAATGACAGCATGAGTCACTTCTGCACCAAAAAAAGCAGGTCACATGACTTGATTGAAGGTTTTTAAAGATTGCCATATGCAAACTTGCAAAGGGGGCTACGCTGTCAGCAGAACCACTATCTAAATACACCTTTAGAACATCCTTTGTGTACCATTTAACTCACTGAATCCTTCATAATTCTAGATGCCTGCGTAACAATGCATTTATTAGATTCGCTATATATTCTTCACCAAGTTTAACATCAGTTAATCACTCCTCGTATATAAACAGGAAGGAGGATGCAGATGGCTAGAGCTGCAGGCTATTCGATGGGTGGCGTGAATATCATTAAATGTCACACTGCAAAAATGCTGCATTACACTACATCCGCCTGAAACGATCATGATGGTTTGAGTCTTAATGCTGAAAGAGTTTTGAAAAGGCAACTCATAGGGGTGTTTGAGTAAAACCAGACTGCATGACAGAGCTGACTTTTATTTACTTATGGAGTTGTATTTACCCATGTGCTGATCTGTGGCACTATTTAACAATCCAAACACATGGCCATATGAAATATATCTCTAAACTATAAACATTAACACTGGACTTGATGTAATTCTGTGTAATCTCGGTTACATTTATTGTTTTACTGGTGGTTTGCATCTAGAATCACTTAAAATGTACAACATTTAGACATTTGCATTTAATCTAGAAATAAATATTTTGGTTATACATTTATTTATCTAATGCTCATTACAACAAGATCGTAAACAAGTTTGTTCTTTCAGACCTGAAACAAAATATTGGAATACGTGGAATTAAAAGGTGAAAGTTTAAAAACTAGCAATTGTTAGATGCATATTAATTTTTATATTAGCCACATATGCACTTTAAAAATATTGCAGTCTATAATATCATATTTCAACAGATATGATTGTAGCAAAACATGCCTTCAGTTATGGAGATCATTAATAAACTTCAATTAAATCCACTAATAACACTTTGAAATATTGATATCACCTCGTTTACGTCCAAAAATGAGTCTTGACAGCTGTGGCTAAAATGCAAATGAAGTTGTCAAGCTAGCCATGTTTAACGCAAATTTGGTGACACTAAAGCCACCATCAAATAATGACCATAAAGTACGAGTTTAAGCAAAATATTAAATGTAATAAATATAATAATTGCAGATGCGAACTGGACAAGTTTTGTTTTCAAAACAAAGCCATTGACGTTAGCGACCAGGCTAATGCTAGATGCTAGGCAGCGCGAGAGAGGTGCAATAATAAACAACGTGTGCTTAATTTTCTCATAAATATCACACAAAAAGCGATTGCTGTGAAAGAAAGTATTGATTTTGTGCTTATTTCAAGCTGTTAACGAAGTCCTCACTGACCTGCGGCTCTTAGCGGAGGCCTTCCAGACAGCCGCTCAAACTGATTGAGTCTGTCCGGGCTGTGGGCTCCTTCTGCGCCAAACATCCTATAGATAATATTGGACATCGCTCCAGAAATCACGCTGAAATCCTCCACCTACACGCAATGGCAAACTGCAGGGCTTCCTTCAACAGACACAGGCGAAGCGCAGGGCATAACTCAGCCCATTCTCCCCGGAACGAGACGCTGCAATGAAATAAATGGACCTGGCCGGGTCTCCTGAAATGAACGTGAAGGCAGAAACGCTGCTGGAAAAAAAATTACCTCCAAGATGGCCACATAAAAAACAAGCTATGAAAATAATCAGAACATAACTAGTTGTTTTTTTACACCTGTCAAAATAAAAGTCTATGTAATAAACGCCAAACATTATGAAGGCAAACATCTACATGCTTTCTTTTGTTATCTCTGAAGATAGTTCTTTGTCATATGTCAATAGAGTAACATATCAAATGCCACAAACTAACAAATTTTAATAGTTTATTAATTATTAATTCATTAATTTTCTTTTCGGCTTATTCCCTTTATTAATCAGTGGTTGCCACAGCAGAATGAACCACCACTTATTATTCACTAAATCAGAAAAAAATGGACTTTCAATAGTTTGGAAATATATTTATGCATATAATATTTTATATATGGTCCAAAATGCATAAAAATCGAAAGAATAAACTTTTACAAATCTTAATTATGATGTAATTTTAGTTAAAAATTTATTTTGACAGTCCATCTGTGTCCAAATGTGTCCAATATAAAACAACGTATGTATGGTACCAATATTTGATGAATGGCTTAAAAAGCTGCTAAATATAACCCAAATATAGAGATTATGATTTGTAATAAATAATAAGATTAATCTGTTCATGAAATCTTGGAAACCTTTACTAGCAACTGGGAATATCATCATGCACCCTGTCTATTATATATCTGTTTATCTTGAAAAGGTACTGTGTTGCATTATTTATGCCCTTTTTTCTGTGTGTCTTATTGTATAAAAAGTAATTTAGATTTTATTCTGTAAGTTATTGATTTCTGTAAACTACATTTCTTTTAAATTTAAAATTAATGCTATTATTGCTTTTATTAATTTTCAGACAACACAATACCAACGTTTTAACTTCAGAAGAGCTAAGAAAGCAATAACCTTAGTGGAAGAACATTTGGTATTATTCTGACCAAATTTAGTTTTATAAAAAGGAAAGAGAAAAAGACAGAAAAGGAGCCCAGAAAAAAAAATCAATAGATTTATAAATGTATTTATGAATAAAATATTTATGCAGATTAATGTATGATACACAATGCCTAAAATGGAAAGAAATAAAAAGAAACTAATTTAAAATTCTCAATTGTAATATTAAATTTGAATCTAAAAGTAATTTTTTGACAGTCCATCTCCCTGTCCAGATGTGTCCATGAAAACAATATATGGTACCAACATTAGATAAAGGGCTGGTAAACATAATCCAAATAGAGAGATTATGATTTGTAATAAATAATAAGATGAACCTGTTCATGAAAACTTGGAAACCAATTTGAAATATAATCATGCAAACTAACCCTCTCGACTATTATATTCATTCATTCATTTTCTATTCAGCTTATTCTCTTTATTAATCAGGGGTCGCCACAGTGACCTTCTTGCTGTGAAGCATTCATGCTATCCACTGCGCCACCATGCTGTCCCTCTATTATTATATATTTGTTTATATTCCAGTCTTGAAAAGTTACTATCCATTTTTTTTCTGTTTGTCTCATTGTATAAAAAGTCGTTTTAATTTTATTTTGTAAACTACAATTCTTCCAATTTTACAATAAAACTTTGGCATTTAGAGTTTTGATTTTCTAGAAAATAACAGAGAAGGTGCCCTGCATTTATTCGTTTTCAAATAACACAAATACCAAGGTTTTAACTTCAGAATAGTTAAGATATCAACAACCTTGGCTTAGTGGAATAACAGTTGTGATTCTGACCAAATGTCATTTTTTAAAAAGGAAAGAAAAAAAGCATTAATTTCCACATTTTTTAATTTACTAAATCAGAAAAATGTAAATTACTTATAATTAATTTACAAAAAAATAATGTAAATGTCAAAAATAATATTAAATTAATATTAATTTAGTTTTTCCTATATTACAAACAACTTTGTATGTCCAAAGTCTATTTCACAAATCTGAAATTTGGAGTAAACTTTTCATCTGATGTTGATAATTAATTTAAAGGGGCTTCTCAACAAACAATTCATACCCAGAGACTAAATAAAACTAGCTCCTAATATACAAGCTGTACAATTAGCTGATCAATATAGTTTGTGTTTATGTGTCTATAAATATTAACATAACTGGGATGAGAGAAGAGCATCAATAAGATTCCCCATCTAGTTGGGAAGAAAATGTCAAAATGTTAGTGTATGTACTCCAGAAACTATTTTATTTAAATGATTGCAATGCAGTGTTAGGCAGCCACTTTCATATAAATGTGAATTTGCACAAAATAATATTATTAAAAAGTTTATTAAACAGTTCCCACTGTGGATTTTTGCAATGGAGGGGCGGAACTGTGTAAAAAATGCTGATAGTTTATCTTTTGCTGCGGGAGGGTTTAGAGACAGACACCAAACATGGCGGCGCTTGGCAGCCGCGCAAATCGGCCAGAAAACGGCGAAAAACAAACCAAATCTCCTCTTGTATCGCCCTTGAAAGTGCGAGAACTTCTCAACGAAGGGGTCGCCTCGGAAGACAGCGTGTTAAACTGGTAAGAGTTCACCTGTAATGAGAAGGAAGTTGCAAAAAAAGTGTGAAAGTGCGAGAAGAATGGAGGAGAGGGGCGGTGAACAATCCAGCATAAAGATAAAGCATGAAGAAGTTTTTACTGAAAACCCTGGTGGAAAATGCCGGTAGCTGTTTTAGTACACAATAGATGACCCAAAATGGACATTGACTTGTTCAAACGACAATACCACAGTGAAAAATGGACAAATCAGCCTATGTCCTATTGGAAGCAAACACAATATCTATTTACCTGTCAACCTGTAGCTGGTAGAGAATCTCGGAACAACAGCAAACCATCTGGTTTTAATCCAAATGTCCCTGTTTAAATAAGTAAAACGGCTTGTATTGTTAGTTCATGCTGGTTGTATTAATGTAAAGGTGTTTGTTCTCGCCAAATGTATGCTAAGGTTTTCACATTCAGGGCTAAAAAGTTACTTTTATTTCTTTAACAGAACATCAACAAACTGTGTTTCATGGGGATTCATAAAATCCAAGCAGCTGACTCTTAAAATAAAACAATAGCAAGCAAAACAAATTATTATTTATGGCTTGTGGTGATACATTGAGGTCTTGTGAATCAAAACAGTTGGTCTGTGCAAAAAAAATAAACAGATGCACAATATTTGATATGAGATTTTTCATTGAAAGCTTGCATTTCAGACTGTCATGATCATTTATTGTTACTGAATTGAATGTAGTAATGAGGTCAAAATGATTGCACAGACCTCAAGTGTAGCCATGGCTATTCATTTTGTAATAGTGATTGGCATTTTATGAATCACCAAGGATCAAAGTTTCAGCTAAATATCTTAATGAGCTAATGAACCAAACTGAAGAAATAAAATCCACTATTTAAATCTTTTACTAAATTAACAGCAAAGATACATTTTTGGCTGCATTTATTCTTTCTTTTTTTAATGTGTCCATATTCTTTTCATATCTCAGTTCACAGCAGGATCCAAACACAGCATCTCCGAATGGCCTTGGAAAAGCTCCTTGCGAAGCAGCAAACAAAGAGGCTTTTTTCAACAGAGTGGAATCCTACTCGATATCCTTTTGGTTGCTTTGAAAATATTATGTTGTTGAAGCTGGATTTGAGAAACCAAAAACCAATCTGTGTTGCATATTAAATGAAATGCATGTTATAGATTAATTCTAATCTTGCCTGTTGGACTCTATTGATTACTCATTGATTTATTGTTAAACATGTTGCATCATACACTTAGCCACACAGACCTTCTGTTCCATTCTTTGTCTTTGCAAAATTCATCCTTAACAGAAGCACTGTCTGAAATGGGCTGGAAAGCCGAGTGTGCTTTCACCTCTGAGATGTGCTCGATACGGCTGGATCAATGTAGACTGTGACATGTTAAAGTGTTGTAGTTGCCAGGCTTTCCTCTGTGCATCAATCCAAGCAACCTTAGACTTCCAGAAATGTGAGTTTTGCTTATATTAATTCTAGAGCCATGTTCTGTATGCATGCATGCATTTATTTATTTGATTTTACTTTTTTAGATAAAGGACGGATTTCAGAGGTGCGCCAGCAGCTTCAAACGCAACATGAGAAGTTCTGTTCCTGGCCGGATTTTCCATGTCCAGGTATTTTGATAGAATCGGCAGCCTTCCTGTGTCTGCTGATCAGAAATCAATTAACATTGTTTGTTTTTTGCAGATCGCTTCTGGATGGTTCCTATTAATGAGCCTACAGTATTACTCGCTGCCTTTCTAGAGCGTTATAAGAGCGCTTGCCTACTTGAGCAGCAGCTGCCTGCTATGAAGCCCGAGCAACTCAAAGCCATGGTATGATATTTCAATTTTAACAGGATTTCTATGAATAACCCTTGTGCATCAGTAATTTTGGATTTGCTTTTCCTCAGACCTTGACTGAAGATATTATAAGTGTCCTCCTACAGCTGATTGAAGATGAGCAAGCAAAGCAAGGCAGTTCTCCTTCTAAGGTTTCATCGGATCCTCTGTCTGTACAGGTGGCAGCATGTATCTTAGCCCTTTGTGGTTGGGCAGCCAGGTAAAAGAAAAAAAAAAACCAACCAGTTACATTAGATAATTTTAGACATGGCAGACTTTTTATTCACTTAACGCTTTGGCTTTGTTTTCATGCAGCCCGTCGCTCCATGCTTTAAATCTGCCCATCCTCACTTGTTCATACTGCATGAGAAAAGTGGGAATGTGGAACTTCTATCAAATGGATACTGCTTTAGAGGCTGAAAACCCACCGCAGTCTCCAGCATCTTCTACTTCTGTGACTTCAACTCAAGGGATGAGTGGGGATAAGGGGACACCTACTTCACCATCCCAATCTCCCACACCATGTCGCATGAAGTTGCGTAGTCAAGACTCCACACGCTCTGAGCAGGTGAGGAACTTATGCAAGTAGTGCAAGTTCAAAGGGTTAGTTCACCCAAAAATGAACATTTACTCACCATCAAGTGGATCCAAATCTTTTTTTTATATATATCTTCTCTATTCTGTTGAACATTAAAGAAAATATTTTGAATAAAGCTGGGAACCTGTAACCGTTGACTTGCTAAGTAGGAAAACAAATATTATTTAGGTCAGTGTTTACAGGTTTTCAGCTTTCTATAAACTATCTTCTATTGTGTTCAACAAAAGAAGATACTCAAAGAGGTTTGGAACAAGTTGAGGGTGTGTAAATGATGACCAAACTCTAATTTTTGTATCAAGTACCCCTTTAACTGTCATATGAACGTAACTGGCAATGTATAATATATATCAGTCGCATCCTTTTAAGTTGTGCAAACATTGATGTGTGTAAATAGGCAGAGAGTACACCTCTACGCACAAGAAGCAGGGACTCCCCTACCCCACATGATGAGCATCCCAGCCCCCTGTCCAGGGGTAAGAGACCCATGACCCGCAGCAGGGGCCAGGGAGAGGGCCAGGGAACGGATGTGCCCTCTAGTCCACAGAGGAAGACAAAACGGCCACGTCTTTCCTCTGCCAGTGGCCCTGTAAGAATAATTTATTGTTTAAAGATGAGAAGTATTTTTGTTTTACCATTTTTCTTGGTCATTTGGTTCCTCAAAAAAAAAAAATAAATAAATAAATATATATATATATATATATATATATATATATATATATATATATATATATATATATATATATATATATATATATATATATATATATATATATATATATATATATATATATATATATATATATATATATATATTTATTTTTTTTTTTTTTTTTTTTTTTTTACATAAAACAAGCAACTAAAATGCAATTTAGTGTAACAGTAGTTTATATAAGAATGTCTTAAGGCATGCAAGATACATTGATGGCATGTTAAGTGACTGCATGTAAGAATCACAGTGCAACCTTGAAATGCAATTTAATGTACAGTTGTACTCTTTTAGTCTTATTGTTTGCATAATAATGTTGTTATAAAATTCTAAAAACTTCCTTACAGGAAGGCCTGTTGCACAGAAATATGTTTGACCCAGTAGCCCAGCACAGGGACTGGTGTCCTTGGGTGAGTGTGGAAAAAGAGGAGGACAATCAGGACGCCTCTGAATTTGTTGGCTGTGAAGCAGAGCTCCCTCAACCAGGCTGGAAAGCAGTGCTTGCCCTGTTTTTATCCATGAAACAAAGCCTCAATCCAGTGGGAGCCAGTCCATCACAGGTGAACCATATTCAACATATCTGCATTTTGTTGAAATTATTAAACACTTTTCATTCCTGTGACACTCTGTTTTTACTTTTCATTCAGGGTCCTCATGACAAATCAAAAAGGGTATTTTCAATATTTCGACAGTGGCAGGTGTCATCCCCATCCCAGTAGTGTGTGTTGGACTGGGAAAGCCTGCTGATGTTAACCTAGTGGTACGCTGCTCTTTGTAATATTTACAGTAGTTTCATATCCGAGTGTTTCTTGATCATGTGAGTCTTGTTTACAGTAATGGGTTTGGTTGGGACGGTAAATCCACACGGATTGAGCTGGATTGTGCTGAAAGATCTCATTTTGGAGCAGAAAAGCCTGGCAGAGTTCTTCTAGAAATTGTAACTTAACCACACTGTTTTGAATTCTGGGTCTGTCTGTTCGGCCTTTGAGCAACAACAAACCAAAGCTCTTTACATCTCATGGACTGCCAAATAGTCCATTACCACCTTATTACACTGGACAACATGGTAGTTGGATCAAAAACTAACACTTTTCATATTATAGTATAGCTAAGGGGAACCAGTGTTTGCAGGCTTGTCTTTTTTTTGGCATTTTAAAGTAAGTATTCCATAAATGTGAATGGACGAACACTTTTATGTATAATTTATGACCTATCTTTTACGCATATACCAGCTGAAATAGATGCCACATTTAGAAAAGGAGTGCCAATTTTTTTGGTTTTGAGCAGCAAGTTCTTTCTCTAGTGTCCTGCATTGTGCATGCAAATATCTGCTTAAATCTAATAAAAATAATCCTTTTGCTGGTTTCCACCATGTACGTCTTGTCATACTTTTGTCTTAAAAGGATACACCAACTTAACATTTGACTGCTGTGGCTTTTACACACTTGTAAAATGCAGTGTTGTTATGTTACAAGAAAATTGTGTCTCATTATCAGTGTTGACCATCAAAACTGTAATAGCGTTTAAAGACAAGAAGTGTGTTGATTTAAAATACATCATAACAGAGGGGGTTTGACCACCATAGTTGTCTTTATAGCTAACTAAAAACTACCATTTTGAACGTACTACAAATTTGAGTCGTCCCCTTGTTTATGACACGTCCAAAACACCGCATAGGAGGAGGGGGACACCTTTCGTCGCGCAGACATGACGTCATCGGCGGAGGGATAGATAGCTGTGAGAGAGAGAGAGCAGTGCGGGCAGAGGACTACCAGTACTATCCGCTGCGGACAGAAAGTGGAGGGCGAAAAATAACTCTCCAAACGACAGCTTGCCGTATGCCAATGTTCAAAAATACTCAGTTTCGGTAGAGGCCAAGGGATCGAGAATCAGTCGCAGAAGATTTGAGCATCGGTCATCTGAAAGAGGAGTGTATAAAGATGTCGTCTCCAAGTCCGGGCAAAAGACGAATGGACACCGACGTGGTGAAACTGTATCCTTTAAAATATAAACAACACAATTACTGTAACGCTGTGGCCGTCAAATATGTCAGATATTCACCGAATCAGCCTTAAAATGCATCTCCTGCTGGTTTTAAACAATTATACGCGTCCGTCTGCTCAGAAAAACAGTTGTCAAAGCCAGTGTAATGGTTTGTTAGATGGTGATCAGCTTTTGACAACAAAAGTGTTTTGATGGTTGTCAGTGCGGCCAGCAACAAAGGCAAGAATAACTGAGGCTTATTTTGAAAATAACACAACTCAGCTAAAAAAATCAGATTTTTCTCGACGGGATTTGTTCGTTGTCAGTGTTGAAAGGGGGAAATGTTGCTCTGTGTCCTTTGAGTGTTTTGTCATCGCCTTTCTCTTCAAATCCATGCCAACGTTTGACATCCACAGGATTCAAGCACATATTTATATAGATACCAGTCGGATATATTTATTTATATGCTCTCTGACAAATCCAGACGTGTTTTTGACCAAAATGGTGATTGTTACTTTCCATTTGGCCTGCTAGCGAGCTAGCACAACCTCAGAAGCCAGTTATTTATTTATTTGTTGATTGTTTTTGTTGCTGTTTTATCATGAAAACGGACAATTATACGCATTTAAACATCGTCAATCGCTTGTTTATTTATAGTACACGAAAACAACGAGATATTCATGTGCAGTTTGTTTGTTTAGATGCAACGCTCTTTAAATAACAACAAATCTGAAATGCCAAACTTCAAACTCGGCGTCATTGTATAACCCTGTCTCAATGTGTTTTTCTCTCATATGGAGGATCCATCTTGCTTTGGCTTTTGTTAAGGTCTAATGTTCTCGTTTGAGGGTTACATGTTTTGACAGGAAATTTACCATATTTTTGTTCGCATTTTAAAGCTCTCGAGAACAAGGGAAGTTATGTTGTTGTTATATTGACTGGGTGCGGATGTTTGTCTCTGTCACCACTCCACAAGAATCCCTTTAGTTTACTTGACATAAATGACACACGCACCAAAAGTTTTGTAGAGTTGTTTTCGTCCGCTTTTGCTCAAGACAAGCCGTTTGGTATTATGCGTGCAACATGCCTTCATGCGCAGTGTGTGGTTTGGCTGTGCTGTCAGTGCGTTTTGTCATTGTTTTTGTCTATCTAAGCATCTAGAACACGCAGTTCCGTTGGCTTTTTAGACGTTGGGTTGATCATTTATGAAGTGCAGTTATGTCGAGTTTTTCAGAACAAAAGAAACCTGCAAAGATTTGTTTGCTTTACAGATCAGGAAAGTTTTCATGCTGTCGGGGCTTGCCATCTGTTTAGCTTGGGTCGTTTATGTGTGATTACGACGTGTGCGCATTAAAAAGTAACCCATGAAAGACTCTTTGGGATGTTGTAAAGTCCTGAAAGGATCTGGGAATGTCTCGTTATGTTTATGTCTCCAGCAGTAGGAACTAGCCGTATGATTGGCCACTCTGTTACTACCCGGAAACTGCAAGTAGGTGGGATTAAAGAGTTGAGTGACAGTATTTTTTCCTAGTTAAAGCTAGTGTATAATTTGTGCTCAGTTATTTAGATTTAAGCTATTCGCTTAGGTTTATTTCTTGAAAAATGAAAAAGTTTGAACAGGTCTGTTGTTCAAATTGTCAGGATATTTTTTCTGTTTTTAAACTTTTTTTTTTTGATCTTCAACAAGTAAAGAAAAATGTAGTTCAACAGCTGAGTATCTGGTGGAAAAACTACATTTCCCATAAATCTGTAGAAAGTGTTTACACAACATCATAATCACCTAAAATGGAACAACTTTGTGTGTGTTTGGCCATTCAGTTATATTCCGGTTGTAATTAGAGGCCTGGATATGCTTTTAAAAATACATACAGGTTTTTGTAAATGATGTTGATTTTATGCAAAAATGGTGACTTTGTGCCCATATTACATGTTCAGTCTAAAGGGTATATGCCGAGCTAGTGCTGTTCCCATGCTGATAAACTTCCGGTTACCTGTTATTGTTAGGTTTTTTTTCCATTTTAAATGATACCTTATACAGCATCGATGCTGTAATATAGTTAAAACACAATCAGTTAAATAGACTCTGGCATTCATTTAGTTGCTCAAGTGTAAAACGAGGTTAGCGCAGAAGCTCCATTGAATATACTGGGGTAATATAAATGCTCATATTTTAAAGACATGGCGGGGGAAAATGTAATTTAATGCAGTGCTTCTTGTACAATCTGAGACCCACTTTATATCGGATATCACTCAGCCCATGAAAATCGCTGATTTTTAAAAACAGACTTTAAACGCGCCGTTTTTGCAATGGCAAACAGTTCATCGGAAGGGCTTAACCCAGGTTAAAAGTCCTATTAGCATGCTTCGGCATATACCCTATTGACCTTATTCCTCGCGTATGAGCGGGCACAGCTATTTGAATCTCTTTAGATTGAGACTTCCAGTCTCATTCACTTACGTATATTTTTAGACGTTAAAAACAACTCGTTCTTAGTCGTCTCACACATGATTTTCGCCGCTGGTCTCTTCTCCCATTATCAATGGCAGGCAGAATCAGCTGCGTAAAGATGAATGTACTCCCTAAATTCTTATACCTTTTTCAGTGTATTCCAATTTTTATCCCAAAATCTTTTTTCGCTACATTAGATAGTTCTATCTCTCAATTTTTGTGGAATGGTAAGACCCCGAAGATTCGAAAGGACATTCTACAGAAACCTAAGGGCTTGGGTGGGATGGCCCTCCCTAATTTTTTGTCTTATTATTGGGCTGCGAACATACGATCCTTATTATATTGGAAAAATAAAAAAAATCTAGACGGTCCCCCAGCATGGTTAAATATTGAGAACGCCTCATGTAGATCTTCGGACTTAAAAGCTCTCCTCTGCTTTCCCATCACGCTATCTCCACTTAAATACACTGATAATATAATTGTGAAAAACAGTCTTAAAATTTGGATTCAGTTTTTACGTAACTTTGGCTTTCAATCTACCCCTTTAACCGCCCCAATACATCTAAACCCATTGTTTTCTCCATCTATATTGGATGGAGCATATGCCTCTTGGAAGAATCAAGGGATACTCTCAGTAGCAGATCTTTATATCGAAGGTGTTTTTGCCTCATTTGACCAACTGAATGCATTGTATAACATTCCGAGAAATCATTTTTTTAGATATTTACAAGTACGTGACTATGTTCGTAAACATTTCCCTGGTTTTCCCAATGTCCCTCAACTATCGAAGATCGACAATATTTTATGTCTTGAAGCAAGCAGTAAAGGCCTAATCTCTAAACTAATCAGTATTTTTGCAAATTTACAGTCTTTTCCAGGTGACAGTCTCCGCACCAGCTGGTCTGCGGACCTTAATATTGAAATAGATCAAGATACATGGGAGGCAGTTCTGGACAGGGTTCATTCTTCATCTATATGCGCACGTCACTGCCTCATTCAGTGTAAAGTGGTTCACAAAGTACACTGGTCGAAATGTAGGCTCGCACGGATCGACCCAACTATTGATCCAGAATGTGATAGGTGTCATTTGGGTTTAGGTACTTTAACCCATATGTTTTGGACATGCCCAGCTCTTTCCTCATTTTGGGGCTCAGTATTTCAGTCTCTTTCAGCCATTACTTCTATAGATATAACACCATCACCCATTATTGGCCTGTTTGGCGTGATGCCGGATAATTATGCATTACCCACTTACCTTTTAAACTTCATGGCCTTTCTTACTTTGCTTGCTAGGCGTGTCATTTTATTATACTGGAAGAACCCTCAGCCACCCTCGCATGTACGGTGGCTGAAAGATGTTTTGTATTTTGTAAAACTAGAGAAGATTAGATATTCCCTTCAAAGACCTAACAGAACATTTGCCAAAATTTGGGATGCCCTTTCTTTATATGTTAAAACTCTCCAGCTGGATCTAGACTGATCACCTCAACTTTTGATCACAATAGTACATCAGTTTGTAATCTTTCATCACTCGAAATGTAACATTTGAGATTACTGTATAAATGTAGACATCTGCCTCGCATTAATTGTTTATTTCATTTTATTATTATCTTCTTTTTTATTTTAATTTATTTATTCACTTTTTTTATCAATATGTTATTTGTATTTATATTTATACATTTTTTTCTATTATTATTTATGTGAGGGTTGTTTGATATGTTTGTAAAATGGAAAAATGTTAAATAAATCATAAAAAAAAAAAAAAAAAACAACTCGTTATGCTGCTTGTTGCACACTGATATTTTCTTATTATATTGTGCTTTGTATAGTCATGGAGCAAGTTGTTTGACTGTTTTCTGCTGTTTATTATTCCTAGTCATTTCTCCAATAGGCAGTTGAAGCGGAAGTTTATTGCAAAAACTAGCGCAGTTCCGTATTTTAGAATAAGGTCAATAGGCATGCATGAGTACTTGATGACAAAAACAACAATGGTGGGCAACAGGAACATATGTGCGCAGATTATTATTATTTTTCAGTTAATAAATTGAAATTGCCACCTACAGGCCTGTCATGCATAATACAGCAATGGTTGTCATTTTTGTTAACATATTATGCGAACATCGCTTGTTTTGACAGTCCCTTTGTGCAAAATCATTTACAGATTGCTACTTTGATGACCTTTTTGCCGCAGTGAACAACTGTAACAAAATCTTTCCTTTTCTTTTTTCCTCCTGCAAAAAACTTTTGTAGACGGCATATCTATAGGTCTGTCACAATAATCAATATATCGACTTAACACAGGGACATTTTTTAGTGATGCAATATATATCGTCCATACATTAAAAAAAACATCTCTGGCAACATTTTAGCTGATTGCACAACTTCTCTACCTCTATTGTAGGTATCAGTGTCAGGATAGTTAAAAAACGCTATAGTATTTACTATAAATTACTATAGTATATTTTTATGTGGGTGTCTGACAACTGACAGTAGATCTGGCAGCAGATACTGCAGCGTCTGTTACTTTTACCTTGCACGTTTTTGTTAACATTATTATTATT